GGCGAATGCATGAAAAAAGTGCTCTGAGGGGAGAGGAAAAGATGACAAAGATGCCAATCTCAGCGATGAAGAGTACCTGGAAGCTCACCCAGAAAGGCGCCCAGTTGTGATAATCGACCATTTCTTGCATAAAAACAACGAAAATCCGATGATTTATGACAAACTAGCTGAATGGGCAGCAGCGGTGACCACTTCTAACATTGCTCGTGTAATATTTTTGACGGAGGATGTTTCAGCTTCGAAGTCTTTGAGCAGGGCTCTTCCGAGCACAGTTTTCCACCAGATGTCATTACAGGACTGCTCATCGGAAGTGGCCAAGCGCTTCGTCCTTGAGCATATTCGAGCTGGGGGTGAGGGAAACCAGCGAAGCGACACTCCCGAGAGTCTGCAACATATGGAAGGCCTTGATGATGCCATCCAAGCTCTGGGCGGACGCCTGACCGATCTCGAGTTCCTAGCTCGAATGATCAAAACCGGATCAACGCCAAAGGGTGGGTATCTTCTCCTGGTATTACGTTCACTTGCTAATCCATAAACATAGGTGCCGTCCAACGAATAATCAATGATGCTTCTGCTGAGATTTTAAAAACGTTTATCCTCGATCTCCCCGCCACTGAGAACTCGCCATGGTCGGCAGAACAGGCTTGGTATCTCATTTCGAAATTTGGAAAGAGCGATTCAGAAACGCTGCGATACAATGCCATCTTGCTCCATCCCCTATTCAAAAGCGGTGGCGAGGCCGTGGTCCAGGCCCTCCAGCATGCCGAGCTTATATCCGTTTGCACTATTGACGGCTCTCCGTCATCAATCAAACCGGGAAGACCAGTATACCGTGCGGCCTTTAAACAACTTACCGACAATAAGGCCTTGAGAAGTCGGTTCGAAATGGAGATATTGGCCCGGTTAATTGCGATCGAGAATCAAAATATCCAAAATCTAGAGAAGGAATTACAGGTACTTGGGTCCTTCCCAAAGCAACCGGGTGAAGTAGCACCAAGGGTTCGTTGGTTACTGGGAAAGTTGAGCGGCTCGCAGGTTAATTTGGAGAAATATGAAAGGAAGGCTTCCTTGTTGAAAAAAGTCCTTGAGATGGAGTAACGCTTTTCTTCACATTATCTTTGCTGGTGTTTACACGGACGCGATGGCTGTACTCAACATGTAGTTTTACTTTGCTGTCCTGGCTAGCAAGTCTTGGCATGGTGCTCTTGTTGCAATTTTGCTAAATTCTATTCCTCTAATTACCTGTATGATGAATGATTGTACTGTACAAAAAAGAGCAGCATTATCACTTGAAGCCCCAACAAGGTAACTAGAAGACAAGAACCGTCCTCTCAGAGGAAACGTAATGCAACGCCATATATAGAGCCAGGAGAAAGAGAAGGAGTACGCAACGTTGTTATTTGCCCCCTCGCAAAACATCTTTCAATTCCGTCTTTGGTTCCACATACCTACTCAGTGTTCCCCTCTTGAGACTCTTCTGCTCATATGCATAGGCCATCCCAATCAAAGCTTCTTCGCTCCACAAATCGCCC